TTTAACAAGCTGCTGACTCCCACGCAGTACAATTTTTGTTGTTGGACTTTGCGTCCTCTTAGCAGAAACCATCTGAAGATTTTCATACCGAGTCTCTGAATGTGTGGGACACAGCACAGACAAAATAGCTGCCAGGCTGCACCTTTCTACAGCACACCTCGGTTGTTTTGTCGTTAGTTAGGTGCCACATGGAGTCCATTGTGACCCACAGCAACTATGCCCAGCAGAGCGAAACACTCCCCAGGCCCGCGCCCTCCTCACAATGGTTTCTGTGCCCGAGCCCATTGCTGCAGCCACCGTGTCATTTCCTTCCTGCGAACACCTTCCTCATTTTCGCTGCCCCTGCACTTTACCAAACATGATGTCCTCCCCCAGGAACCGGTCTCTCTTGACAAGTCCAAAATACATGAGACAAAGTCTAGCCAAAGCCTCACCTCTAAGGACCACTTTCCTCCTAGACAGGTGCTTGTCCTTTGGCAGTCCCTGGTCCTTGCTACACTCTTCACCAGCACCACAATTCAAATGCATTGACTCTTCTTCGGTCTTCCTTGTTCAATGCCCAACGTTCCCATGCATACGCGGCCACTGCAAACACCATGGCTTGTATCAGGCACAACTTGGTCCTCAAATAACATCTTTGCTTTTCAATACTCTAACGAGGCCTTCCTTCCTATTTTCAGCCTCAGTTATAGAGGCATCCCAAAAGCAATGGGAAAAAAACATTACTTTATACTTTTGGTTTTTAAAACAATTGCATTAGCACTTTTTGTTACATCAGTTTACCTCTAAACTTTAGAATATCTTTTCTTAGCAAAGTGATTGTTAACATCCTACCTGATACCTATATTCCAAATTGCTTAACTATTGCCCTTTTTTCGGCATTTCCTTGCACCTGTTTTTGCCAGTTTGCATTATGCTAATACTTCCCTATAGATAGCCAGCTATTGTTAGTTGCCTACTTCAATCTATTTCCTCTTTCTGCTTTGCTCAGAGAAGCCCAGGTCTGTTGGTGTGGTTCATTGAAAGGTCAACAGTCCGGTTTCTTGTTTCCTCAGCTTTCCTTGTTGGTAGGGTAGCCAAGTAACCCAGCTCCGCCTAATCAGAAGACTGTTGTTAAGAATCCTGGGAAATCTTTTGCTTTCTTGGTAAAAGGGTCAGATGTGACATGCCACTTTTATTCCTTCTTCTGCCTTAGACACAGAAGAGACGTTCATGAAGGTAAGGTATTGTTGTGTCCATTCTACCGAAGAGGAAACAAAGGCATAGAGATGCTAGCCTATGCATGGTGATTCAGCACACCTGCATTGAGAGTCTGGCTCCAACACACTCAGCCTGGCAAAACCCGAGAGGAGCCCAAGATCCTGATGACGTCCTTCACTTAGGAACAGCAGCACATACTTCTTATGAAAGACAAACTCCAATTTGGGTAATGTTTCTGGATGGACATTCAGCTATTTATAGCCAAACACAGACGGAAGCACAGCTCTGGGTGGGTTTCTTTGACTAGACACTCAAAGTGGGTTTGAATCAAAGGTTGAAAAAAAATATATATATATAAAAGAAGTAAACTTCTTTAACTTCTTTTCAATCAATTTTTTAATAGTCAACGCACAGAAAATGCTACTTTTTTCTATGCCATGTCAAATTTGGATAGTTTCAAAATCTTCTAAGAAAGAATCTAATGAATGACTATATATATGTGCAAGAGGACTTCAAAGCCTATATATACATAGACACATATGAGGGGGTACCCCCCCAAACCAGATTTTTTTCGAAGTTATGCATTTCAATTTACAAAACAACCTTATCATCTTAAAAGTACACTCCATTACATTCAATACATTTGTCAAATCTGCAATTCTATTCTTGGAAACATTTTTCAAATTCATCTGCTTGGATGGCTGAAAGCACCTCCCTCATTTTTTTCTTCACCTCTTCTACGTTGTGAAATCTCTGTCCTTTCATGTCTCCCTTCATTTTTGGAAACAAAAAGAATTCACACAAGAGGTCAGATGAGTAAGGTACATGGGGCAAGGGAGGCATGCTGTTTTTTACCAAAAACCAGTGTACTGAGCTGGCTGCATGAGCAGGTGCATTGTTGTGGTGACAAAACCAGTCCCCCGTCTGCCAGACATCAGGCCTTTTTTTCCAGTTGCACACTGACGCTATCTTTTTAGAACCTCGAAATAGAAAGCTTGATCAACAGTCTGACCTGGTGGAACAATGTCCAAATGCACTACGAGTTGACATTTTGGTCTGTTCAGGAAGTTGACAGATGTCCAGAACCAGGTTTGTCATCAATCGACATTTCATCTTTTTTGAAACAAGGAAACCACGCTTGAGTTTTTCTGATAGTGCTGTCCTTGTAAGCTGTGTTCAACAGCACAAGTTTCTATGGCATTTTTCCCAAGCAGGAAACAAAATTTCACAGCAGCATGCTGTTCTCTTACATCAGCCATCTAGCAAAACTGCTTTTACAAAAAAATCCACTGAGTGGAGAACCCTCTCAGCAAAGGCCACTGGGTGCACTAATTCAAAGCAAGTTGCTGGATGGTCACCTGGTGGGAAAAATGCGTACTACGAGAGCTTTGCCCAGCGGAGGCTTTTCCCCCGCCATTTTTTTCTTGGTATATATACATAATGCTAGATTAAACATTTCCTTAGTGGGAAAAATAATGTAAAATTACTAAGCCAAAGGATAACTACAAGAAAATCTGGTATTTCCTAGTGGCATTCCAGAAAGTACTACATTTCAAGTAACTGCAATGGAAGCGTGCCTTTTTGGCAACTATGTGAATACCTAGCTCGCCCTTCGAAGTGTTTTCATAGCTTCTTTAGCTACTTTGAATTTTTGCTGACCTACCTTTTATTTTATACTGCCTTCCTTTACACCTAAGTCAATGTGTGTCTACCCTCTGGTTAGAAATTTACCCTCCCTTTGCCTGCCAACTCTTTGTAATCATTATCTTCTTTTACTGTAAAAACTTTTCCTTTGCCTTGACTCTCCAAGTGGTCTGAATCGTTAGGACCATTTTATAGGTTCTTGATGTATACTACAAATTAATTCCCAAAATAATGATTCTAACTGACCACTTTGGCTAATATTTGGTAATGCAAGCTAGAGACAAGGGGTTCTGGTGGCATATGCATCAGGCTTCTGCCAAGTCAGCAGTTCAAAAGCACCAACTTCTTCTCAGGAGAAAGATGAGGGTTCTACTTCCGGAAAGATTCAGTCTGACAAACGCACAGGGGCAGTTCTTCTCTGTCTATAGGGTGGCTGTGAGTTGGAATGGGCTCAACGGCAGTGAGGGTTTTTTGGGTTTAAGCGAAGGTCAAAGAGGGTCCCAAACTGAGGAATCCTCACGCATTCAGTCAGTAGGTGGTGGAAGGTTGTCATTAAGAAGTTGAGACCAAAGCTCCTCTTCCACAGTCTTTAAGTCAGCCCTGCCTTGGTTTAAGGTACATTCTCCAATTTTAAAGAAAATCCACAAAAATGAGTTTCAAGGTTTCTTTATTCACCTCAATTAAGGTGATATTTCCGTTCACAATGACATAAAAACACACATACTGTAAGATTCGGAAAATAGAACAAAAATACCCACAGATGATCCCAATATTCAAAAGTAAATCACATTTAATACTCTGACATATTTCGAGTTCTTATTCTCCCCCATTTTCCTAGATGTGTACTTAAACTACACTATCAACACTTTTGTATTGTGCTTTCATTTATAATAAATATTCCTGTGGGAAACATTTTTTGTCCACATAATACTCCACTAGAAAAATCCATCGAACTATTCCCCAATTGAGATTGGATTGAAGAAGCAATGAGAGAAGGATGTACCAAAAGAAATACTTGCCCCAAGAATGAGCCTCTGCAAATAAAAGCTTAGGTTATTTACACAAGGCCCAGTTAGCTACGCTTTCTGCTTTGACCTGTATGTTTAAACACAGCACAGACCCTAGACTGTACTAGGAGTTATTTCTGGGGCTTTGACCTTGGGGAAGAAAAATGGCTCCATGTGAATGTCACACCTGCTTGTTCAGATTCAAGGGAAAAACATTTAATGTTTAAGTCCATTCACAAAATATGTAAGCAACAGTGTTTAGCTTCACTTTCAAACTATGAACAAAAAAACTATGAATGGACATCCCTTGGCAAAACAATATTATCTGTATACAGCTGAAATTATATCTAAGTTAGTTTGAAGAAATCAGAACTCACTCCAACTGACTGAACATGCTGGTTGCTATGAAGTTGCCAGGGAATTCTCTCTACATAGTATGAACTTCCAAAAAATTGGAATATAAGGAAAGAGAAACAAGATCTATATTAACCATAACCTTTTAAAAATTTAAACTCCACTTTTTATGATTCAGAAGCCAATTTCCTTTGTTGTCACGCATGGGTTCCCACTAGACTATGAGCAGGCTCTGGGGTGGTCCATGCTAGGTGTTTCCTTCTCCTGCTCTTGAACTGTTCCTCCCTGGGGCTGCTGGTGCCAGCCCACATTGAGCGGTCGAGAGCTTTACAAAATGCCTTGTACTGCAGTCCTTTCTACTTCCTTCATCAGAACTGACAGCTCTATAGAATGCAGTCATTTCTACTTCCTTCATCAGAACAAACGTTTCCAGAGGGCCCAGACATTTGTACTGGCAACCCCAACAGCACCTTGAAGAGTTGCTTTGCACCTGGTGGGCATTCCATACACACTTGCATATTTTGCACTGGCTACACATTAAAAGAAAAAAACAACTTGAGGTGTAAACCTATTGGTAGGAAAACTGTAATTGTTTCATTTAAATCTTAACAGCAATCTAACCTCTGACGAGGAAGTTACTGCAAGCCCGCTCTGTGGCACATGCTTTAAGGACTCACAAACACTAGTTCTCACAACTCCCGAAATAATCAGTGAGGCAGGCGGCACTGAATGGACAGATAGAAAGCTGACGTCCACGGTGAAGGCATGGACTTATTTACAGGCACTGAACCAGCCGCCGGGGAGACAGCAGTAGACAGACAAAACTCTGCCTCACTGTGGAGCTGGTTTTCTAGGGGAACTTTCTAGAATGACATACACACATTCTGAACATTTACACTGCTTTATATACAAGCCTGCACCCTACAAAGCCATCCTCAAAGGGTCCTTTCTTGATGTTTATGAATCTTGAGACTGAAAAGCTGAGGCTGATGCTGGCGCTTTCTTCAGAGGGCAGCGCCCCCAGCAAGGCCTCCGCCCATGCTTACAGCATCCACCTTCATGAGAAGCTCCTCTTCGAGTTTACACTAACCGGCAAACACTCCCAAGAGACTGATACTATAATGAACCACATCAAATAGAACTAAGATACTACGACGTAAGTGAAATAAAGAGAGCTAAGAGTTTATCTTCCCACACTGGAGAGACATCTTCCTATCCCACAGATAAACTGTGGGCTAGTTCAACAGGGTGAGGCCAGGGTGAAACGAAGTCAGAAAGACACAGAAAGGGTTCGGCATCTAAGTGGGACGGGGAAGTCGAGGGCCAGGACGAGCCTTCTAAGCACATTCTGAACTGTATTCGCCTGTCTCTGGCCTGGACATGCAAAAAGAAAAGGCGACAGCTTTAGGTCTGAAATGATCAGATTTGCATCGGACACTTCCTCTAAAGCATCGAAGGTGCTAGACTTTGACAGTCCCACTCACTAAAAAGAAAAAACGCCAAACATGTTGCACTTGAGTTAGTTTCAACTCACAGTCACCCTACACAGGACAGACTCCAACTGCCCCGCTGGGCTTCCAGGCTGCCCCTTTCCCAGAAGCAGACAGCCCTATCTGGAGCCTGGGGAGTTCAACGGTCAACAGGCCTGGCAGCAGTGGAGCAGAGCACTTATCCACGGAGTCACCTGGGACAGTCAACTGAGGCGCTGAATCTCAAGGTCTTCACAGCTACACCTCACACCTAGCTCTGGGGCACCCCAGGAAGGGACACACGGTCCATTCAAAGTTGACACTTATCTCAAAAAGAGAGCCGAAGGCACTGGAAAGGAACAAGAAGTAATTCTGTAAACACACATGATAGAGGGGAAAAATCACTGACAAAATTTCTGAAAAAAGCTGTGGCTTCTGAGTGGGCAGAAATTTGTCTTTTACTCTCATCTGAAGTAACATAGGAACATTTGCTCTTCTACCACAACACTGTCTAGAAACACGAGGCAAAAGGCACTGGATTATTTCCAAATGGGACAACTTGCACCCAGGGAGACTGCCAATGGTTCTCAGGTCCCCTGACACCCGCTCTCGCACCAGGCAGCACACAGCCAGGCACTGTCACACCAGGAACTGTTCACCAAGACGAGGCAGCCGAGAGGTGAAAACAGTACAGGGCTGAGGGAGGCTGCGGAAACCAAACGTCAACACAATTCCCCTCTGTGGAAGAGGGGCTACTCAATCCATAAAGTGAAAACATTCCAAGATGATATATCCTTCAAGTAATTAAAAAAAGCCAGCGCTTAGTCTCTACAAGGCATTGGAAAAAAAATGTAGCTCTTTGAGGTGGACTAAGAAAACAGTCCATCTAAAGAGTCTACCCAAAATCTGTACAGCAGGAACCTGTGTTAGCAGGTAAGCCTATCTACAAGTAAGAACCTCTTACTCTTGTAACGTTGTCCGTTTCCGTTTAAGGGACTATACAACCCCGCCCCTTGTAGAGTAGCCCAGAAGGGCGCTATGATCCCGTAGAAATGCAGTCCTATTCCTACTAGAAAACCATGTACACTGCACTATAACCACACGCACACACACGTGCCTCCCCACCAGGCTGAGTGCCCGGGGAAGGGAGTTATGGCTCATATGTCCACAGAGACACTCCGCAGGCACTCAGTAGTGTTTCTGCCTGACTGCTAAATGGAGACACACCCAGACTACTTGTGTCCTGAACCACCCATCCACACGGATCTTCAAAATAAATACACCAAACTGATACAATGTTCACTGTCCTTTACAAAACACAGTGCTTCGGACTTTTTAATATAAACCACCATTCTTGATTGGCTAACGTTTGGAGTAATGACACACATGTAGCAATGGCCTTCAAAGAGGAAGCTTGCTGGCAGGTTACTTCATTCGCTTTCTCTTTTTCAAAAGTGCATCTCGTAGCGCCAGCTGAAAGAAAAACAAAACAATTTAAACACGGGCACTTTCAGCCAGACCTTACTGTATAACTTTCCTTATGAAAGTTTATCCAAATTGGACCTCTATGTCAATACATCATCCTGAAAAACTATGAACGGTGATAAGACTATAACTGATCCAATCTGTATCCAGTCTGGGAACTTCCTCAGGGCTGGGAAGTCTGCAGAGAACCCTTCCCACCTCTGGAGGGCAGCAGTGCAAAACAGGCACAGCGACAGAAGGAAGAGAATGAACATCATCTGTCTCTAGGGACAAAACGTGTCTACAGAACTTCCCGGGCAAGTACAACTCAACGCTGGGGAGTGGGGAGTGGGACACATGTAAACAGAACCAAGAAGGGATAAGAGTTTTCTTCATTCCTAATTCCTCCCAATGACATAGACGCAACCAAATAGGGACACACAGGAGCCATTTGGAAGTGTTTTTAATGACACGTAGCATTTGTGCAGATCTGAGATCAGTTTAGTATGTAATCTAGAACAAAGAAAAATGTTCTTCTATTTACAGATTTTCAATAGATCGCAATGAGCTAGAAGATGAGATTTTAGGCATGGAGGTAATTTGTGACTTTGGGGTGGATGTGATGGGGTGAATGTGTTTGCAAGTAGGAAAGACATGGATTTGGGGAGTGGAATGTTATGGATTGAACTGTGCGTGGCTAACATCCCACGTGGATTCACACAGGATTCGTGTAGCGTGTGTCTGAGTTATCAAACGAGCAGAGGAAGGCGGGAGGACAGGACGCAGCGACGGGGGAAGAAAGACGGCACACTGCACAAAGATCACCGCAGAAGCAAGGAAGGAAAGGCTTCCCTGGAGCTGAGCGCAAGCCTTCCCTTCCAGTGGTACCTGCACCTGTGATTCTGTGAGGAAACACATCGCTGTTTGTTGAACTTGGCCATTTGTGTTTCTTTTCTAGCCCCAAACAAAAACCACCCACTGCTCAGAGGACTGAGACAGCCTCGTCGTTCTGCCCTGAGTCTGCACTGCCAGCCTGGAGGTGGACAGTCCCATGCCTCGCCCACAGCACCACCAGGGCTCCTCTCTGACAGCAGCTCAAGGCAAGCTCCCGCAGGGAAAGGGCTGATCAATCTGCTTCCCCCAAGACCAGCTGCGGGGGACTCTGTGGAACATGTTCTACTGACACACATGGGGTCAGGCACAGGAATCAGGAAAAGGCACCTGGTCCTGTTATAACCCACAGTCACACGGGTCACAGTTGGCTCATCAAACCTGGTGACTATGATCACACATAGCTCAGTCTCCTTCTACTCCAAATGCCCATTTGAACATCCTCTTCCTCCCTTTCAAAAGGCTTCCCTGTAGAAGATCCTTTCCTCCTCTGTCATGTTTTCCTTTTCTCTTTTTGTGCCTTCCCATGTCATCTCTTTTTATATAGTCTAAAAATTTACAGTAAAGGACCCACCCGTATGCACACTTTCAAGCCATTGAGGACTCTCCTACTTAAGACATTACATAGCCATCACCGAGGAGTGGAGAGACTGCACATGATTCGACTCCCTCCCCCAGAGCCTCCAGAAAGTTGTAGGGCCACGCTGCAGCTGTGCCATGTCAGATGGTAGCCACTAGCCACATGTGGCAAACAAGCTGTGAAATGTGCCTAACCAGAATTGAGATGTATTACTAGTGTCCACTTACTGGATTTTAAAGAACTGATTTGAAAAAAAAAGATAATTTTTCTATGGAGTACATGTAAAATGATGCTATCTGGGATATACTGGGTTACATTAAACAAATTACTAAAATGACTTTCACCTTGTTTCTTTGTACTTTTAAAAATATGGCTACTAGGAATTTGACCATTTCTCTTCAGGTTACATGTTACGATACAGAGACCTTGAAGAAAACCCAGGGCCAGGGGACATTACACAAATTCCGATTCATTTCAGGTTTCAAATGGCAAGAGAACTGGAGGACAAAGAAAAAATAGTCTTGAACCTAGTGGTGCGAATAGTCAGTGAACTGACTATATTCAACTTTCTTGAATAAAAACCACCTTAATCTTGAAGAGAGAGGTTTTGTAGCTCAAGAGTTGCTGATAAGGATCAAAGGCAGGCTTTGTCCCAAAAAAGTTAATCAATTTTTCTATTTCACAGGTCAAATGTTAGAGAATCTTAGTCTGGAGAGGGGCCCTAGAGATCACTGAACTTGACTCCCTTTTGTGATGGAGGAGAAAGATGGATTTCCTTGGTCACACAGCAGTATCTCAATTAAGTCCAGTCTGGATTGACAGGCTCTGAGGGCTCCACCCTTTCTGTGCTCTCCGGTAAACGCTCCTTATGAATCCCAAGTGGAAGAGTGCTGGTGCCACAGCTGTTAAGCACTTGGCTGCTACCTGAATGGTTAGCAGTTCAAGCCAACCAGCTGCTCTGTGGTAGAAAAGCGTGGCGGTCTGTTTCTGTAAAGACTTACAGCCTTAGCAAGGCTATGGGACAGTTCTCCTTTGTACACAGGATTGCTGGAAAGTGGAATCGGCTCAATGGCAATAGGGACTCCCAACACACCCACTAACACAAGGTCTTCAGAAGCCGTGCGACTCCTTCTCAAATGAACAGCTGTCTTGGAATGACAGTGCTGTTCCCAGCCACTCAAGCTTCAAAGTGGACTTACCTGCTTTTCTCTGAAGGAGCGCTTATTTTTTGTCCGGACATTCTGGCTATACCGCATCATCATATAGTTCTTCTGTTTCTTCTTCTCTTTATTTGTGGAACTTGAATATGGGTTCATTTTGGTTTTCTTCCTCACAAATTCTTTTCGGTCTGTTTTCCCAGCCTATTAACACAATAGGCAAAAAGGTCAATTTTTCATCTTAAGCACACCAGGAATTGTCTGATCAACACAGCCTCCATTCGGAGCCAGACACTCTGCTGGATGTCAAGGATGTAAAGAGAGAATGCAGTCCTTGTTCCTCAGTGATTTAGTGCTGCATGCCCTGGGTAGAGATGACTAGTGTATTTTAACAGCGAGGGCAGGGTGAGTAGAAGAAAAGATGAGGTTAGAGGAGCTTCCGAGAGGCAGGAGAGGGAAAGGAGGGCCAGGTCGGCCGTTTGGGCAGGACAAAGGTGTTCATGGTGGGGGAAAAGAGAGGAAGATAGAGTCTTCCAGGAAGCAGAGACAGCGCATGCAAAGGCATGGAGAAGAAAAGGCACAGGGGTTTTAAAGGTCTCCAAATGGTACCAATACTAATGGAATGCACAGGGTCTTGTGAGGCCAATCTAGCGTGGTTTCTAAGACCAGGTGAGGTTAAGGAAATGAAGTTGAGCGTGTAGACAGGCATGAATGATGAGGAACTGGCTAGAGGCAGATTCAATTGTTTCCTAGTAGCTGGGTGGAGCTTCCCAAATTGATTTGGCCAAATGCCAAAAAACCCCCCAAACAAATTCAATTCTCCCCAGCAATTAAAGACTTTTGTACTGTAGTCCATAATTCAGGATAAAGTGTAGGTATCTCTTTACAGACCCTTGGATCATTTCAGTGTCCCACAGAGGGTAGTAGCACCCATTTTAGAATGTAAAAGTGTACCAACACAGATGGCAAATCTCATTTAAGTGAAAACCTAACTTCTATGCATTATATTGTTGATTATAATATTATAATTATGACCATAACATCACTTACAATTAGGTCTTGATAAGAAGAATGCCCGGTCTTAGTCTGCCCTGCTGCGCTGCTCTGGATTGTCACCCACCTTAGATGCTTTCTGTCTCTTCTCTGACACGGGGATGCTGTGTCCCACTCACCATTGCGGTCGCCAGTCTTGTCTCCTTGTCAGACTTTGGCTTTTTATGAAGGCGCTCGATGTCTCGCAGGGAAAGTAACTCGCCCCTGCCGTTGAGGGAAAAGAGCAGGGCATGTGCAAACAGTGGGATTGTGGGATTTCTTTCCCCTCTCCGCTCCTGACCGTGAGTGGGGAGTGGAGACCGGGTGGATGTGCCATTTACCTGGGCTCCTCGTCGCTGTCTATCTCTATGAACTTCCTCTTTTCCGCCTTCCCGGGAGCAGCACTGAGCTCTTTCCTCATCTGGGCCACGCGGATCTTCTGGAAGTCTTCCTGCGTTAAAACGCGACTCGTGCTGATGGCTGCAGCTTTGGCTTTCCGCTCCTCCATAGGCATGCTGTCCAGCTTCTTCGTCTGAAAGTACAAAACAGAGGCTTGAGGGGTGACCAGCTCAAGTGGGAACTTAGTCACTGAAACTCTACCCCAGACAAGGCCCCGGCAACAATGAAGACTTAGCAAACGTTAGGGCGGTGCATTTCTACATGGACATGTTGCAACGTACAACTTCTCGCTGTTCTTCATCGGAAGAGTGGGGCACGTCGACCCATTCGCCATCATCGTCCTCCTCCTCACTGAGACTGGCACTTTCCCACCCATCTGTGTGAAAAGAGCACGCTATTATGACTACTTTAGGCTGGGTACTCACGGTCTGCCGAGAAAAAACAAGCAAAATTAAAGTTGGCGAACCTTAAATAAGTTTCCTCTGACCAAGAACTAAGGAGTTTTTCTTGTTAAACAGCCTTATCAATCTACTTAATTAAAGGAATGGAGACTCAGTACTGACCAAGTGTCTACCATGTTGCTGGAGGGCATCGTGCTTGGTGAAGTGGAGGGTCAACAACAGGAACCTCAACAGGATGGGCTGACCCAGTGGCTGTAATAATGCGCTCAAACAGAGCCACGGTGATGAGGATGGTCAGGACTAGGCCGTGCTTCACTCTGCTACATGTGAGGTTGTCAATGATCAGAAACTGACTCAACAGCCTCTAACAACAGCAACTTATCTACCATATGCCAACACCTTACAATGTGTTTCTCTAACTCTCACCACTCAAAGAGGAGGGCACTGACTCTCAAAAGAGTTAAGTAACTTGCCCCAAGTCACACTGCTAAAAAAGGCACTCTACATGAAAATCACTGTTTGCAGAGCCGTTGTTCTTTCTAACAAGTCGACATCCATCTCAAACCTGCCCTTGCACGTTTGTCTTAGTCACACAGCCCGCTCAGCTGACGATACTGACACACTCTCTGTGTGTGGGAAACCAGTTAGAAGGAGTCATTCTGAGTAGAAGATTCTTGACATGTAAAGAATCCTTACCGAAGATTCAAGAGGTACAACCTCTCACAATAACCCCTCACCCCCACCCAACTCTATCTACCTAGTCTCATTCCACCTTGTAGCCTACATTCTAACAGTTCCCTAAATACTTCAAGATTTTCTCACATACTTTTTGCCTGGAAAGTCTCTTATTATTTGACTACTCTTTGCCAAATATTTGCCGTATCATTCAAGATTTAGCCCATGGCTCTCCATGTCTCAAGCCATTTGGAACCTGCCTTTATGCCTCTACTCTACTCATGAACCCTGCCAGCATCTTATTGCTCAGTTGTTTCTGAAACGTCTTCAAGGGCAGGAACCTTACTCATTTAACTTGGAACTGAGTGAGGCTGGCACACAGCTAGTGTCCAGGAAAGTTATTTTGAAATAATGAAGGAATAAGACAGGACTCTGACACATGTTGCTAACTCTGGGAATTAGAATGGCGTACCTCAGTTACTCTTCAACAGGATGAATTTGAGGAATTGGGGATTACTGCTCCTAGGGGTAACCGTCATCATCTGTCATACAACAAACCCAACTGTCTTGCTCAGGTGCCAAAGAGCATGTAGCACCCAAGGACATGTGAAGGCATCTCCTATACTTGAAGGTAAGTATCTTAAAAGTAGGAAAATGTCCATTTGATCCTCAACTTACAAAGCTGCTTGACATGTAGCTATCACTCAGTAAAGATCTACTGAGCGAGTGACTTTTCAAATGGCCCAAAGATTAAAAGGTCAACAAAAATAGTGACTTTCTGAAAAAAATAATAATTTATAAATTATCAAGGGTTCATGAGGGGGGAGGAGCAGGGTGGGAGGGGAAAAATGAGGAGCTGATGCCAGGGGCTTAAGCGGAGAGCAAATGTTTTGAGATTGATGAGGGTAATGAATGTACAAATGTGCTTTACATGATTGATGTATGCATGGATTGTGATAAGAGTTGTATGAGCCCCCAATAAAATGATTTTTTAAAAAGTGACTTTGAGTGAATTTGCCTTGAATCAACAGTGAAATGAACCTTCAAAAAAAAAAAGAACCTTCATCATTTTCAGCATTCTCTTCCTTTTTCTCAACCTCCAGAACTTCTGCTCCTGGGATATAATCTTTAGCATCCAATTCTCCATATTCTTGCACTCTTGCTTCTAAGGAGGCTTCCGTGGGCTTACCCTAAAGCAAAGAAAATGGTTTATTATAACAAAACACTAATCACAAAAAGGGGATCTCTAGGATAGACTGAGAAGGAAGCATCATTTAAAAACAGAGGAAATGAAATGATAAAATTAGTCCATGTACCTCTCAGCCCAAAGTAAATCCCCACAGTCACAACCCTGCTCACTACTTCCCCTTTCTCTGCTGACCCAGACCACGCACCGGCTGTCACCAGAGAGTAACTGCTCTGATTGTCAAGTCGTGGTGTCACCATCTGTCTTCTATTACATCCACTCCTTCCCAGCTAGAACCATTCAACGCAGACAACAACTACGGACTGACTGGCTGTTAGAAGCTGTCAACAGAATGACAAATCTCAGCCTTCATCAAAAGGCAACCACAAATACTGACGGCGGCAGCATTACGCTGGCCAGTCGTACTCCGAGCTGAGAATGAAACTGTGTGCCTCACTCACTTCACTGGCACTCAGCCGGGAGCACCACAAGCACAAACATTCCACTAATAGGAAATTCTTCTCCCTGCTGAGACTGGAACCTCTAGATCAGTGGTTCTCAACCTGTGGGTCGCAACCCCTTTGGGGGTGGAATGACCCTTTCACACAGTAACAGTAGCAAAATCAAAGTGATGAAGTAGCAATGAAAATAATTTTAAGGTTGGGGGTCACCACAACATGAGGAACTGGATTAAAGGGTCGCGGCCTTAGGAAGGTTGAGAACCACTGCTCTAGATCAACATGAGCAACTCCACATACCCGGAATTTCTTGTGCAACATCTGAGGATTCAGTGTTCGGAAGAGCTGAATCAAAGTTCTAGCAGACATCATCACATCTATAAGAGAACAGTATAAATTAGAGGGTCCACAGCAGAGAATATAGTGAGGCAAAAAACCAGGCCACTCCAAATTCTATGGCCTACAGAAAATAGCATGTAACTTACTCTTATCTTTGTGTGTTTTATACTGAGCCAGGTCTTGGAGAAGTTCTTCAGTCATGGCTAGGGGACATCGAGCTGTTATCTCTTTGATGGCATTGATTCTGGAAAAGGGAAGGGATTTTTTTTTAAAAAAGGACAACCACCCAACTAAATAGCAATTTCATGTGGGTCAACCTGAGGAGGTTTCTTAAAACGACTGAATAAAAATAAATACAGCTGGGCTTACTATGGTTCATGTCTCTAAAACTGTAAGATGATAGAGGCTGTGAGTGTAGAGTTGCGTCATGGCTGGACTTATAGACGGCTTTTATTCCAGGCAGCGCACTACCCAGGATGCTGAATCGTGACAGTCTCTACTCTTGTTTGTTTTGTAGGGAGAAGGGACTGACTGGGTCAAACAGGAAAGACTGACCAGTCTACAGACTGATATGTCAACACCATCTTCCGACTATCAGCACTGAGCAGACAGAACACAATTCTTAAACCATTGTGCACTCTCATGAAGGGTTTTTGAATTCATAATGAGGGCTGCTGAATCACCCTGGTATGAAAAATGATTCAATTTGTATGAGACGACTCTTACTTGCTGGGACAAATCGATTGTTCCAGTGGAAGCTATCAATTCTGGGTAGCAGACGGAAGTAAAACCTCTGAGTTGCTGAACAATCATTGACTTCAAAGAGTCAAGCTAGTACAAAGACTGCAGGTTTGATTAGAAGGACAAGTATCTTTCCTCCTGCTCCCTCGTCACAATTCTGGCTAAAGAAAACAAAACACCCAGCCACCTAACATGAGGAGGCTGCATTCAGCCATTGCTTTTCTAGAGATTGCGCTAGTGGTGACAAGCTGACCTCTTGGCGAGTGAGCTCCACTTACAGGAAACCTGATAAACCGTATATACTCGAGGATAAGCTGAGCTTTTCAGCAAATTTTTAATCCAGTTTTTGTGGTAAAATTAGATGCCTCGGCTGATATTCGGGTCGGCTGATACTCGAGTATATATGGTATTTAAAAACAAAGAAGACAAAAATGCCTCGCAAAGTCACCGCTTTTAAGGATGCCATACATACCCTACGGTCATAACTTCTCCAGAGTTCTTGTCAGTGACAAAATTGTTGGCCACCGTCATGAGCAATGACTGAATGATCTGAATTGGGGAAAAGAGAAATGACTGCTGATAAAACGTCCGCGCCTATTCAAATACCTGAATACACCTTTTTATTTGACAGAATATTGGGCGATATAGCATTTGCTGAGGATAAACAGCCCCAACCTTCAGTTTGGGAACTGGGAGATTCTCGCTGAGAAGACAGATGGGAGGCACGCTGACCCGCGGGGCTCAGTCTTCTGCCTGGCATCTGCAGACCACATCAGTAAGATGCTGGGCCCGTGGCAAAGACTACACAAGGACGGGCATCCCCAGCTTTGGGAAAGAGTGAATGAACTTACTATGCTCGACTTCCCTTACTCATAAATTCTGCTTATTAAACAGAATTCTGAATAAGCTGCCCCCAAAGTTTACTTCCCATGGGCAATACAGCTGAATTCCTCTATGTATCTCCTTAAGCGTTAGTCACTTAAAGGTCCAGAAATCAATGCCAACCGCAAGAGCAAAGCTGGAGAGTAGTAATCTCTGTGGGAAGCGTCATCTTGCGGTACATCAGAGTGGTGCCATTAGTTAGGTACTGGATTCAGACACGAGGCTTACAGCTCACCTCCGGGGGAACCAGGTGATGAGAGGCTTGTGCAGCAAACAGAAGGATCTTTGTGACTTCTAAAACGGGCAGAGATCAGAAAGGTCAGAGTCAGCTTATCACTCCGTCTCATGGGATGACAGCAAAGACAGTGTGCCTGTTTCTGCCTCACTACTAATGCTGCTGAGCCCACCTGCCACACCTAATCCCCAGACACCTTCAGGGCTCAGACTTATACTTCGCTTAGTCAGTGAATTGTGGCTCAACCAGAAAGGTCTTTCTGGACCACCATCCAAAACAGAACTGGCCCCAGACCCTGCATCGCTCTCTAGTACACCCCCACTCTCACTCGGCTTCCTTCTGCTTCACACCCTTCTTTCACCTGGACAAATCTGAGGGGACTTCAAGTTCATGGGGAAATGCCATTATCTTATAGTAATACTGTTTTCTACGAGCTTTCTGAAGCCCCGTCTTACACCTAGGGCAGTGTTCCTCTTCTAGACGTAAGCTCTGGGAGAGCGAGAACTGTGCCTTACACTCGTTCAGAAGGATCCCACTGGCTACGGCACACTCTCCCTTCAAGGGAGGCAGGGGACAGCACAGTGTATGGGAACAAGCAGGGCCTTTGGCAGAAGGAAGGAAGGCTTGCCTGAGTGACCCTGGTCCTTGTCTGTTCTTTCTACACCTCCCAGGAGTAGTGTGAGGATTGGAGGAACTGGTGTATATAAAGTCCCCAGCACAGTGCTTGACTCGAGTTGGACACTCACAGAATTAGTTAGCTTCAGTCCTAGCTCGCTTCAAGTTCAAAGGCAAAAATGACTATCTCTTCTTTCTTGCTTGTATGAGATTTTTAGTAAGAGTGGCAAGGTAAAATCTGGAAATCTGTTACAAACTTACAGTAAAAAGCCAACCTTCTTTACAATTTTCACAGGAATATTTATGGTATTACAGAAAGACCTGATCTGAAGAACCAACTAGTTTATTATTTTTTTCAACAACATGCCTATGGCCACTCTGGAAAGAGGCCATGTACCTTCTCCCCTTCTCCGACCCAGAAGCCACGTCACTCCTATCGCTGCCTTCAGGGATCCCCACACAGCATACTGGGTCGCTATGCCAACACCAGGACCAGCAGTGAATGTGGAAAGGTGGCTTACCTCTCTGGTGGGGCTGCAGAAACCTTTGAACGAAGGGATAGAAGTTAAAGAGGAAGAGCTGTGGAGAGAGTAATACATGGGCTTTAATATGTTTGTACCTGAAGCTGCGGGACTTCTAGCTCCATATGCAATGATACCACCAAGCATAATGCACTAGGGCTCGCTTTGTGTTTTCTCAATCAGCCGCCAAGCCCGCGATGTTTCAATAGGCTGTATTAAACCCCAAAAGGAATTCTCTCTCAGGTGAGGCCATGCCGCGGTCCTCAGGATATTAAAGAAACAAATAGAACAGGATAGGGAGAGAGAGAGGGAGAGGGAGAGGGAGAGGGAGGCAACCAACAAGCACTCTTCTGCTGCTCTAAATTGATAGTAGGTACGGCTTAAGCACGGCAACCACCTGGGCTCCCGGAGGAATGCCATAGCCATGCACAGAAATATGCGGGTTATGCTGACTTAGGAAAATGTATTTCTGACACACAGTTAAATTAAAAAGAGACCAGAAAAACAGGGCAGAGAATACATCTGTTCATAAAATGAATACATATGTTTGGATTAACCACCATACGAATTGGAAAGAAAACAAAGTCATACATATTTTTATGAGATATTTTCTTTTTCTGTAAACTGTGACTTTAAAAGGTTGAGCGCTACAATAAGCCACTGCTCTCCTGAATGGCATTCCTTTGACCAAGGATAATTTGGCTTCTAACATTCAAGAGAATAAAACGTAATTCAAACCTCATGAATTCCCACCAATCTGGAGATAAGGTTCATGAGCATCATCTTCACTTCAAATCTCTCCTTGGAGCTCTCGAGTTGTTTCAGTAGTTTTTCAGCAAAATCTGGAAAGGAGAGCATCAGAGAAATGCATTGTGGGTACACCATTATCTATCAGGTGTCAGGAAAGATGCGGTGAGATAGTGACCCCCTCCGGCTGTGTCTGACATCAGTGCTGATCCAGGGCAGTAAAAACAGCTACAGGACAGAGGATGAAAAGGTTCCTACATAGAGACCTTCAATTATAAGTCTTATGGAGTTCCAAGATTTTCAGCATTATCATCTAGAGCAGTGCTTTCCAAAGTGGGTGATACCACCCCTGGGGGTCACTAGACAACCCTGGGGCTGGACAGGCACACTTTATCCTAGACTACATCTGGGCTACATAGTACAGCAGTGAAAAAGGGAGACCCTTCAACAAGATGGACTGATGGAGTGGCTGCAACAATGGGCCCCAACCTAACAATTTTGGGGATGGTGCAGGGTTAGGTGGTGTTGGGAGCCGACTGGACCTACTAACAACCTAGAACAAAAGTTTGTAATTGCCAGGGGAGTGCTGAGAAATTTTTCTTTTTGAAAAGGGGCAGCAGGCCAAGTAAGTTTAGGAACCTATGTTCTAGAGCAGTGGTTCTCAACCTTCCTAATGCCGCGACCCTTTAATCCAGTTCCTCATGTTGTAGTGACCCCCCAACCATAAGATTATTTTCGCTGATACTTCATAGCTGTCATTTTGCTACTGCTATGAATCAGGCGACCCCTGTGAAAGGGTCGTTCGACCCCCAAAGGGGTCACTACTCCCAGGTTGAAAACCGCTACTCTAGAGCACCTGTTGGTAGGTGCTCCACCTAGGTAGCTCTCCAAAGCCAAAGGAGCTTGTTAGACAGCAATAGAACATCTCAGGCCCCACCCCAAACTTCCACTCAGAATGAGTATTATAAAAAGATCCTGGCTGATTTGTAAAGACATTAAAATGTAAGAAACACTGATCTAAAACAAAGGCTGGCCAGCCTTGCCATACATTAGGGAACCAAACCACACACCAAGCTCACTGCCATGGAGGCGAGGCTGACCCAGAGCAACCCCTGTGTGCTCCCGAGACTGTAGCTGTTTACTGGAGTAGAAAGCCCAGTCTTTCTCCATGGAGAATCAACTTGAGGACAGTGAGGAGTTTGGTGTTTGGGTTAATAAGCAGCCACAGCCCACGCCAACTAAATCAGAATCTTCAGGGATAACAGAATCCGGCCATCAGTATATTTTTAGAAATCACTCAGGTGATAAATAAGACAGGGCTTCCCAGCCTTCTGGTTTCCACAAAACAGTCTGGGACAGCAGCAGGAAGGACTGACAAAAGACTGCTAACTTTTCATTTGGTCAATAAAATGTCCCACCACTACTTTGCTGTTAGACGCATGAATCATATTTTGCTGTGGCCTGGAAATCACTGCTAAATTTAGAACATAATTCTCTAGGCTGTAACCAACTATTATTTATTTATTATTAATTAATTGATTAAATTATTAATTTATTTATTAATTACCTCAGTATTGCGCTTGCTGGCCACATTGCAGGAAGAAATCATGTAAGGTCACAGGGAGATTAAATGCCACGGTCATAAAAATTCTTTAAAAAGTCACAGTCATGGTACCTTGGGGATCATGAATCAAGTGAATGGCTGAGAAGTTAAACACCTCCGGTTTCTTCTTCTTCTTTTGTTTCTGGAGGGAGGGGAAAACAGTTTCTCTAAATTACAGTGCTAATTCCTCCTGGGACTATCAAGGTGTGCCACAAGTTGTTCTTAAGTTCACCACACTACTGAAAACGGAAAACAAATTTTATTCAAAATTTTCCTTTAATTGGAAGAACTAAATAAAGGTGGTTTTTTGCGGTTTATGTTTAAATCTCAAGAATGAGCTATCTATTAGCACCTGTGAGACTTAAGGGCATATGAAAATATGCATGGGGGAAAAAAGGCACACAAGGGCCAAATTAACGATTTTCAGAATAAGCATTATAAAATACCCAATATACCTCATTTATGCGCTCCCCTGAGGAGACACAGCTGGCAAAGACACACTACTACAGGTCATCTGGGTTAGAACAAGTGAAATGTCAATTCAACCACATTAGTCCATCCAAGTCACAGACTGCTAGAGCTGAATAAATAATAAATCTATTCACCTAAAAAGGCGAGGGCTTCAAAATTTATCATATATTACTAAAATTTATCATATGTTACATAAGCTTTCAAAAACATCCTTTGTTTCACAATTTTAAAAGTTCTTGATGAAAGCCACACAATTCCTTCCTCCTTCCCCAGGCACAAGTCTCACCTTGAGCACCTTCATGGCCTTCTCCAGTTTCTTCTTGTGCTTGGAGCTTTTCTTCCCCGTGGCGTACTGCACGAGGAGGTCTCTCGCGGTTGGCCCTTCATCCTGCGGAGGAAACGGCTTTGTCAAATAATAGCTGCATAGAGGGCAAGAGTAACCTGGTCAGCCACTTTTTAAAGCAAGCGCAAACTATAGGCGCCGTGTGCCAACAGGAACGTTCGAGGGATTTTACCACATTAATTTTTGCCTGTGGCTTGCTTCTTACTGAGGTGTACTGACAGAACGCAACTTTTTATTTAACTGAAGAGAGACACTGGGAGAAAAAAATATCAACATGGCCTTTTCACAGAACATGCATATTCTTAACTGTGAGAGAATAAGGCGGGGCATAAAAATGTCTGCAGCATTTTGCAGTTACACTGAATGGTGCTGTGGGTTCGGCACGAAGCTATGAACAGAAAGGTTGGTGACTTGAGCCCAAGAGCTACTCCGAGGGAGAGAGAAGAAGGTGCCTCTCCCGTAAATACTCATAGTAGCAGATCGGAGCCCTGTAAGGGCTCGCTATCAGTTAGGAACAGCTTAACGGCAATGGGTTTTTGCAATTTGCATAATAATATGCAGCATCTATAACACACATACAGTTTTAAAAGGCCTTTGGTATGCATACATCACATATTCATTACACATCATATGTTAACTCTAAGAAACACGGTGGTTACCACTGAGGAAAGAACTGAGAAGTGGATGTAAGACAGAGTGAAGAAAAATTTCACTTTATTTGTATATCTAGCATATTTCACGATGAGAATGTCTACTTTATATAGTATTTAACACAACAACAATAACTAAAAGAGTCTTTCACATATTCCAGATCTTATTCTATCCCCCCTGCCACTCCAAGGGAGAACAGATGAGGCTGTCTGCTCCCGTAAGGATTTACGATCTCAGAAACTACTACGCAGTGTCATTAAAAGTCAGAATCATCTGGATGGCAATGGTTTGAAGTTTTGATTTTGTTTGTTTTTGATTTAACGAATCTTACTGAATACAAGTGACAAGTTCCAAGTGGAATTAAAACTCCTAACATGACAGAACTCAATGGAGAGTAATTGTGACACAGAAGCTTCTTTCTAACGTGACCAACCATGACTCGCACAGCTTGTAATAAAATCTAATAAACCGTAAAGCTCAAAAGCAACTATGGTTCAACTAACCTCCGAGTCCGAGTCGCTGTCCTGCTTCTCCTGCTCATCTTTCCCGAGGAAGAATGTCAGAGCAGCCACCAGGATCTGAGGAAAAGTCCGTCACTGAATCCAGTGTCCAACAGATACTAGCATCTTTATTTTATAAATGAGCATGAACTAGGATACGGGGGAGGTAGGGGGCCAAAGCGAAGCACAATTTTAGCTCATCTTTCTAAATTAAAAAAATGTTTTTTTATGATATCGTCCCATAAATACTTAATTTTGCAAAAGTTCAGCTTGATGGAAAAAACTGCCAAAAGAATAAATGGATCCCTATTGGACGAAGTACAGCCAGAATGCTGCCTACAAGAAAGGATGAAGAGACCTCTCCCGTACTTCCGAAGAGACCAGTCCCGGGAGAGGGACAGCAGGCCTGGTAAAGTGGAGGGGCAGGCAACCAGAGGAAGGCCCTCAGGAGATGGACTGACACCGTGGCTGACCCATGAGAACAGTGGTGAGGGTGGCGCAGGACTGGGTGGTGCTCTGTCCTGGGACCAACTGGGCAGCACCTAACAACAAACAGTTGCCCTTCAGAGCAGAATGTCAAAAACTTCCACATCCCTGGGACACAGACAAAAGAACAGTGACATCACAGCCTTTTGGCAGAAAGCAAAACATTAAATCACTATCAGCTGTGCTTGCGTTTACATTTCCCACGAGAAAAATCAAGCATTATAGGGATCGCATAAAATCTAAACTTTAAACCTACTATTCAATACATAGCACTTTTAATTCTCCTCAATAATGTTGTCTGACTCCTCTAAAGTATAAAGGAAATCAAGGCATCAGTCTAGGCAGAAAGAAAGCACTACTAAGAAAGCCATGGTGGCATTGCAATCATGCGTGGGCTGCCAAGACAAGGTCAGCAGTTTGAATAAACCTCAGGAAAAAGATTGTACAGTTTCGACTCCCGTAGAGATTTCATCTTGGAAACCTAAGGGGCAATTCTAGTCCTAGAGGGGCATTATGTGTAGGAATTGACTCGACGGCGGAGTTTGATTTTGGAAGCATAACTGATTTATTTGCTCTTAGACCGCGTCCCCGATTCCATTTGTGCTTTAGGGGAGTCACAGACTGTTAGGCGCTGGGCTGCTAACACCGAAGTCTGTGGTTCACACCCACTAGCCCCTCTGTGGGACAAAGAGGAGGCTGTCTGTTCTCATAAAAATGCAGAGCTCTGGAAACCCTAAAGAGCAGTTCTAGTCTGTACCAGAGACGCTAGGAGTCACAGCCAACTGGACAGCAGTGGGTTTTTACACACAAACTGGTGGTACAGTGCAGTGGTTAAGCGTTTGTTAAATGAAAGATCAGTAGCTACAACCAGCAGAGGCTCCGTGGAAGAAAGACAGAGCCATCTGCTTCTCTAAAGATTTACAGCCTTGGAAAAACTATTGGGGTGAGTGTGGTTTCTAATGTTCCTGTGAGTTGGAAGTAATTCAATGGGGATGGGTTTGGCTTGTTTTTTGTTGTTGTTGTTCAAGCATACTACTATCTCATCCCACATCCATCTCCTTCACCTTCCCTCCACAGAAGCTATGGTACACAGAAAGACCAACACTTCCCCACTGTCCTCCAGGAGCTCACCTTGGTGACCGGAGAGAAGCATGCAGTTGTGATAACGTTGACAGTTTTGGCATCATTCCTGGGGGAAGACAATGACTGTTGTTAAAACAAATCTCTATTTTGCTGTATTTTACAGCACAAGCAATAGAACAAAATAGCACACCAAATCTTTTAGTATGTTTAGACTTTGTTATGGGTTGTTAAACAATCAACGAATGCTTAGATTTCAGCCTAACCTTGTATCCCAAAATAATGTACCCATTAAGTTTGAATGACATTGGGTAGGGTGGGGCTGGAGA